CTACCTATTATTTGATGCACCTTGCTGTTTTAAAAAGCACAGCTAGCAATGTTCAGCCAGTCTAATTTTTCTCCACTTCAACCTACTTACTCCACTCATTCCCATTACTTTCAGTTTTGCTAGTGAAACCTGCTTACTCTCCCCTCCCCTTGTCACTTCTATTTTATTCTGCTCCCTACACCTGGATCATCCTCCTTATTCCAGCATGATAGGTGCCCATCTTCTTTTCATTCAAATCTGTCCTCAAAGCTCACTTGATCCACGAGACCCATAAACACAAGTGTGTCATGTTAAGAGTTAGTGCTATTCTCTGGGACTCTGTTTCACTCCTCTGTGTCTGATCTTTGTCTTTTTAGACTGTACGCTCACCGGGCCAGGACTGTGTCCTTTAGGAATGGTACGGGGCTCAGTAGAATCTCGGTGCGTAAATAAAGTGACCTGCTTGACTGAGGATCCATTTTCTGCATTAGTCACTAAGTAAAGTAGTACAAACAAATGTTTGTTCTACAGACTCGAATAATCTCTTCAAAGTCACACTTTCAACTGACTGTTTGACCCCTACAATTTGATTCTAACAAGTGACTGAATAAGTAGTTCCTTCTTATATAACAGGTCTTATCCCTGTTTCATATTTGGGGCCATACCGGCTTACTTTAGTCACAAAAGTAATATTTGACTCCTGTTCACCCTGCTGAGCCAACACAGCTACAAGGGAGCGAGCTGGATTCTGTTGTGGCTCATGTATCATCAGTTACATTCCAGTTGTGCTCTTGGTTAAACCTGTGCAATCCCAGTGGTGACAGTGGTGTTGCACAAGTGTGACTGAGAGCCGAATTTGGCCTGCAGAACTGTTTTCCTAATGAAGCTCCAGAAGGTAAGAACTCAGCTTGACTCTCGGATGGCAGAGTTTGCAGGGCTAGTAGTTAGAAAACCCATTTTTCCTTATGAATTGAGTGAATTTGATCTGGAGTCATTGAAACAAAAAACATGGAACAGCACAGTGCCTGCCTTATTATCATTTTGCAGAGTAGATCCATACATGAACTTTCTCTCACAGCAACTGGATCCTCTCCTTGTGTGTGTTTTCACTAAAATGTGGCCTCCCTACCATTTACCCTGCAGTATTTATGGAAGCTCAACCAACCTCTCTGCTCATATTTGCAGCTGCTATGTAGGCTGTAATTGCCTAAGAAGCAGTTGTGACACTTATAGTAAGGATGCAATACAATGTATGTTGGTAATATCAGAGTGATGCTTTGGCTGCCTGCCAATTGCATATGACTCCTGGTGCAGGTTAATAGGTAACGTACCCCCTGTTAATAGATCCCAAATCTGATCATGTGAATAACCGATGCTGGAAGTGCCGTATTCCAGCAACCATCTGCTGAGTTTTTAAGTGCTTAGTGCTGTTTACTTAACACAATCTGTGCTGATAAATTACAAGCACTCTGCACTTAGTAAAGAAAATAAATTCCAGCCCCACAAAATAATAGCTTTGCAGCACTTAGCCCTGTTTATAGAGTAGTTCATCCACTATTCCCCCAAGACTCGCAAATATAGCTAACAAATCATGTGAAGATAAAGTCAGTGGGATAATATGAGACCACAAATGCAAGATCGTTCTTTTTGAAGGCTCTGGCTCAACAGTGACATTGAAGGAGCATGGTGGTCCCAAACCCCGTTGTGCCTGGACAGGAGCAGAGCCATTGCTGTTAGTTTAAGGTCACTCATCTAACGTAGTTTTCATTTGGGGATTTAGCTTTTATTACAGCAACCATTCTAGTTCATGACCAAGATGGAGAATGTTCATTATAAACCTTGCTTTCAGGCACTCAGAACTTTCTAAAAGATGATCCTTTATGCTAAAATGTCCCATGATTAATATAAGTGGGGGGAATGGTGTTGTAAAGCACAGGTCAGAGAGTCAAGAAGTCTTGAGTTTTATTCCTGACTGTGTCACAGGCTCTCTGTGTAACCAGGACAAGTTATTTCGCCTCTCTGTGCCTTTTTATGTTCTTTGCTTGTAAAATGGGGGTTACTGATACTTGTCTATCTAATAGGGTGCTGGGCGTTTAGATTAGGAATGTCTGTAAAACACTTGGAGTTCATGCTGTCTAAATGCAAAGTGTTATAAGTAGGGCACGGTGTTTGTCATGGAGGTTGCAGGAAGTCACAGATTCCATGACTTCCTGCAACCTCGGTGACTTCGGCAGCGGCCAGTGTGGCTGACCCCAGGGCCAGCTGCTTGGGTGGTCCTGGGAACAGCCACACGGGCTGCTGCTGCTGAAGCCGCTCTGCAGTCAGCCTCTCCGGGGGCCCCGCAGCCAGCCACACCAGCTGCTGCTGGAGTGGCCCCAGCCCCCAGGCCAGCTGCACTGGTCGCTGCTCTGGCGGTCCTGGACAGTTGGTCCCTGCGACCACCCCCAGGGCTGTTGGTGTCCCCGCCCCTAAGATTCAGTCAGGGATATTTATGGTCAGGTCGCGGGCTGTGATTTTTTTGTTTCTTGCCCGTGACCTGTCCATAACTTTTTAGTAAAAATACCCATGATTAAATCGTAGCCTTAATTATAAATACAAAGGTGAGGAATTCAGTCATGTGTGTTGAAATAAACTGGATTCCTATTCAACTTTTATTTTCAATTAAAGTGTGTGTGGGGGGGAGTATGCTAATATGATGTGGTTGGAATTTTAACACCACAGTAAAACGTATGGTTCCCACAGCAACCATAACTCTGTCATTACATGTGTGCGTTAAGGCCTAAAACTTAATAGCATAAACAGTCATTCAAAATACTTTATACACAAAGGGCGAAATTACATTTGTGGAGAGAAAACACAGATCTCAGTTAAAGGCTGACCGCTGATATTTTAAACTAACCATAGACCTCTTTCTGGAGAGGAGAGAATCTTTGAATTTCCTTACTTGTGTTAAGTTAACTCAGTGTTTGTAGTTGAGAATTTTAACATAGGTTTTTGCACAAAGTTATGTAACTGCAGATCATTTGTAGTCTGCAGGCTGGTTTAAACTCCAGCTGGGGTGCCTCAGTGTAGATTGCAGTCTAAAGCACAGCTGGAGTTTCAAAACATTGATTCCATAGAGTACAAATTGCATCTGTGGTTGAAAGCCTCCCAATGGCAATGCGCAGTAACCTGAATTTGAGAACGCTTTCTTTTCCATCTATGGTGGATAAATGTCTGCACGTAAACATTAATTGGTCCTTTAAAACAATAGCCATAAAGATGGCCTTTTAAAAAAATTGCTTATGCTGTTTTACGCAAAGCAATTTAGTCCTAGTTAGGAAATAACCTCTTGCTAAAAATGTTGGCAACCCAAATCTGTGTTCTGAATTTTAGAAGCGCAAAATAGCATCTTAAATCTTTTTCTCTCTCTCTGTATTTTGCTTAAAACCCCAGATTAAACTCCCCTTGAAAAAACTGGCCAGAAAAAACTCCCTCCTAGGCTGAGCCCTCATACACCAAGTTGTATCCCATTGCAGTGGGTGCGTTTGAACCCCTGGAATTAGGGCATTCTAATGGCAACACTGGAAAATCAACCGTGGGTGCTTTCATCCTCACTGTTTAGATTGTGTCTTATGTGAATCACAGAGATGCTCTCTGACATTCGATTTGTTTTTATTTGAGCATTTGCATTCTTCTGTTCTTCAGAATTTTCTGGTAACATTTGTGCATGTGTTGGGTGGAGGAAGGAGTTCTGATCTGTTCCTTTTGACTCAAAACGGCTGTGGAGTAATGAAAGGGACTACATATTCCTTGACTGCATTACCCACAAGGTGGCAATGTGTGACAGCAGCTGGTACGGTGAAGCACAATCTCTGCTGTTCTTTAGCATTAATATTGAAGCTGTCCAGGTGGTACTAAGATTGAGCAGCAGTGACAGGGAGGTGTGCTGAGATTCTTCTGCCCTAGGGCTTTGGAAAAATGGCCATATGTCCCTGTCCAGCAGTGTTTCCATCCATGCAGGTGGAAAAGCGAAGTGGCTTTGGAATATAGGATCTCCTGTTTTATATCCCTCTTCATCTTCCTCCCCCCCCCCACTTTCATTTTTTTAAATCAAACTTTAACAAGGCCGAGGCAACTGTGGAACTGTTGGAAGGTCATGGCTTGTGGCCTGGACCAGTTTTCTCAGCTCCAGCAGTTACTTTTTATTACCAAATGTCTCCAATGTAAAGTGTGGTTGTACTCTGTGTAAAAATAGCCCTTTGTTACACCATAGCTGCTCCTTGTGTGTCTAGAACAGAGCTGCAGACTTCAGTGATAAAAATGAGGCTTTTGTTACTTTTTATTCCTGTCAGTCCTGCAGAACTAATGGCTCTGGGAGAATAAGATGGTCTACTCTTGTTTGTGCATCATCATTAGAAATTGTTTAAGTTCCAGTTGCAGGACCAGATTCTGCTCTGTGTCATCTGTGAAACCCGATAGAAGACATTGAAGTGAGTCTAGGGATAGCTGGGAACAGGATTTGAAGACATTGAGGTTGCACATGTGCAATTAAGGGCAGAATTTTGCATGCTGAATATTGACCGCTGATGGTGATGCGGGCATCAAAAAGAACTCAGATTTTTCAGATCCCAGGTGAGGTTTGGTGCATTGGCAGTAAGAGAAACTGACTTCTTTCTTCTAAACTGAACCAATTTGATATGGTTTCACCAAGACATGCTCAATATGAGACTGCCATAAAGTCATGTTTGTGGTCTATTTCCAGAGTAAAACCACCCTTCCATGCAGTGCAGGGTAAAATTGCCGATCTGCTGTCTGCATTCTATGGGGGGATTTAGTGTACAGTGTGATTGCAATAGGAGAACATTGGCATTCCTAGTGCTGTATCTGCATTACCAGGCATGACAGTGGGAGTAGTGGGGGAGGGCAAGCACACATGCAGGAGAAAGTGAATTTGATGTGGCTGAATGGAAAAGTGTGGGGTGCGGCTATAATTCAATTTTTAAAATGCCATTTGCTGTTTGCTCTCTTGCTGCAGGTGAAGTGGAAAGGGAAAGATTTGTTTGACTTGGTGTGCAGGACACTAGGACTCCGAGAAACCTGGTTCTTTGGACTTCAGTACACGATCAAGGATACCGTGGCCTGGCTCAAAATGGACAAGAAGGTTGGAATAGGACTTTCCTTTTAGGGGATGTGTGTGGTGGGGTGGGAGGGTAGATCTTTCCCTGTCTGTCCATGCATGAAAGTCGGAGATGCATCAGTGGGAATTCTGGGGGTGCACCAGGAGCAGAACTAGGCTTTGGCTGATCTATAGATACATTAGTCAGGAGATCCAAATACAATATGATTGTCCTCCAGCACAGTTAGTGTTAGGTCGGACCTTTAGTCTATCCCTGAACCATCACAAAGCCTTAGACTATACATACAAGGTCCCTTCTACGCTATAAAACTGGTGCGTTAGCTGTTTCAAGGGACAACCATGTTATAACCATACCCCTAAGATGATTGTAGTGTAAATAGCATCTAATATCCTATTTGGAGAGTCCCCATGTGTACATGAAGGGCAGACCCTTTAGAGACGGTAGCTTTCCAAAATATACCGTGCAAATAGTGGAAAAGTGAGGCTGAAGTATGACATTTCTTTACTAACAGTCTGCCAGTGTTTGAGGTATGGAAGTGCCTAGGAAGGAGAGACAATAGCGAACGTATATGGGAGATGAAGTTAAGGAAAGGAATACTTCCCAACAGTGTGATCCTCTCGGCTGTTGAATAGTCTCCTAATGGAACCATCATTTCCTTTGCTTGTATTTAAAACTAAACTGGGCAAACCACTAGAAAATGTACAATAGGGAATAATCCTGTATGCCCTCCCCTCCCACCCCCCGGGTATTCTTCCTTCTGGTGTCTGAGAGGAACCTTTCTTGAGCAGTATTGAAACAAGGGTCCAGTTGAGCCTGTGTTTCAAAACACAAGATATTTAGTTCAGTGAACAGAAGTTAGGATTGTAGGATCTCTCTTCCTAAGAAAAAATATGGAAGCAAATTCCGGGCTCACCAGTTGTCTTTGTAGCAGGAAACTGCATTTTTTGAAGAAAGATTTGTGTGTGTTGGTAGAACCCTGTATGTGCTCAGCAGGGAAGAAGAAAAATGAATCCTCTGCCTGATGAAAAATTGCACCCCATGGCATGCAGGATGATTTGTTTCTGCTTTGAGTGTGTTTTATAAATATGTAGAAATTGCAAACTTCTTACAAGCCTTTGGGGCAATGGTTCCTGAACTTCCCAGATTTCATCATATTAACCAGGTGACTGGAAAACCTGGAGAGGGGGTACTGCAGTTTGAGGGGAAGTAGAAGTTTGGCACCTGTGTCTAGGCTGTAAGAGACAATGGTGTTGGGGAGGTTGGAGTCACTGATTGATTGTCAAATCCTGCAGGTTCTGGATCATGACGTTCCAACAGAGGAGCCGGTCACTTTTCACTTCCTTGCCAAATTTTACCCTGAGAATGCGGAGGAGGAGCTGGTTCAGGAGATCACACAGCACTTGTTCTTTCTGCAGGTATGCGCTTCAGCAATTGGTTGTCCTTCCCAAGGGCTGGAGAATGTGGTGGGTGGTAGGGCTATAGATGTGTTTCTTAATGTTGACTGTCTCTGGCCATCCCAGCATGGCTTCTCTTCTTTAAGTTCAAACCCACTCTGAAATGAGCAATTTCAACAAGCACACGGTGTTGTAAACGTAGAGAAAAGATGGTTTGTGTAAACCTAGCAGCATTCGACATAGTCAGTCTGTAAATCTGGGAGCAATGAGGTGACTAGCCATATTAATAGGTTATACTCTCCCGCTGGAGGGTATTTGTGTGAGAGAGGGGCAGTTTCAGGAGCTAAGCAAAGTGCAGGAGGCGTCACACCCTTGCAGCCAGTGCGAATGTCTTGTATCAAGATATGCTAGCTGTCTATAATGCATGGCTAGCGTTTTTATTGTATAAAACACAGGTACATCCTCCTGAAGGAGAGCAGGACAAGTCCAGCCCTTGCCATATTCAGGGTACACTATAAAACTTTCCTCTTCACCAAAGTAGGCCCCAAATAACTGGAGCAGAAGAAAATCCCAGAAGCCCAATGGAGTCAGAAGCTGATGGCTAAGATGGAGTGGGATGGAGAACTAAATGTTCCAATTGACACACTGTAGTTGCAAACTGTGATAACCACACGTAGCTCTTATGCAGCACTTTTCATCAGTAGATCTCAAAGTGCTTGACAAAGGATGTCAGAGTCACTATCACTGTCTTTTTACAGATAGGGAAACTGAGGCACAGAGAGCCGAAGTGGGTTGCCCAAGGCCACCCAGCAGGCCAGAGCTGGGAATAGAACCCAGATTTCTTGAGAGCCACTCCACTGTGCTGTCCACTAGGCTACATTTATAGTAATAGGCTCTTTAGCTTTAAGGATTTCTAGAGAGAAGGGAAATGCCATGCAACTTTGTTTTGGGGAAATCTGCGCTGATGCTGTTGCAGTGGCAGCTCTCTACTTCAGGTTAATGAGGCACTTTCATCAGAACTCCCATTTTTCAGGCAAGGACGATGTCTGAAATAACTACCTTTTGGGCTGCAACATTCCAGGTTTATTCTCAGCCCATAAGGGGACTTGTGTGTATGTGAGAGAGACTTATTGGACTGGGAAAATTACAGTGATGTCTAGTGGTTACAGTAGGATTCCTGGGTTCTATTCCCAGCTGTTTTTCCTTGGACAAGTCATTTAGGCTTAAACTTTCAAGTGTCTGCTGATTTTTCTTTTTTGGGTGCCTCAGGTTGAAGAAGGAGGTTGGATTTTCCAGTGTCCCAAGTTAAAGCACCCAAAATTAGTAGATGCTTGGCTATTTAGCCCCAAAACTGAAGCCATCCAGATCAGTGAACACTTGCAAATGTAGGATTCAAACTTCACTGTGCTGTTTTCTGTCCCTCTGTAAAATGGGTATAAAAGCTACCTCAATGGGTTGTTGTGAGGCTTAATGTTCATGAAGTACTCTGTGCCCTTATATAGTACCTTTACTCTAGGGAGCAAAGTATTAGTGTTAATTTTCAGGCCCTTTTTGTTGCTCAGATACCTCACATAGGGATTTTAAAATGATTTTAAAATGGCAAACTTGCCACGGATTTAATCCTGGATGAGGAAAAGTGCCTTTGATGTAATTTAAGAGTTAAAGCAGTTGAAAACTGCATCTCACAAGTGCAGCATGTGACTTTTTACTGGTGTTTTTAAAAACATAGTGGGGTGGTGGTGCTCCAACACTATCTGTGACATAGGAACATGTATAAGTCTGCAGACTCGCCTGATTATGGTAATGCAGAAATATAGCCTTTGTGATTGGTAAGGAAAGGACTTAGATGCAAATCACACTATAAGTGCAAAGTGATGTTACTGTAGCTGATTGTGTGTCAGTTTGACAATCCATTTAAAGCTCACATTGAAATAAAATGAACGTTTTTTCCTTTGGAAAATTAGTGTTTAATATAAAAATAATCAAACATGCATGAAAGTCAGGAAATGCAAAGTAGTGGTCCTCAGTAGCTGTAATTTGGCCCTCGTGGGAGTGTGTGCAGTACTGTGCATGCCACTAAATTACTATCACAAGGCGACCCGCAACTCTGATAATGGTCAGTGGAATTTGAGGGTGGTTGGCACCTCCTGGATGAAGAACAGTTTCCAATAATCCAGTAATCAATAATTAATCAGTATCCAGTAGCCATTTATTAATCAATAGCCAATCATTAATACAGATTAAATTTATGAAGGAATTTTAAAAAATGTGGATAAGTCAGTGATTTAATGTATTAGAAGATGAGACATTAAAACAGTGCATGATGGAAATAGGTATCAGTCATGGTTACCAATATCCGCAGAAGCAACACTACAGCGATGACAAACTAATCGCAGTCTTGTCTTGGTCCTGATAATTGCTTATCCCTTGCCAATATTTATAGTAAGGTTGGTTACAATCCCATTAGTTCCTCTTTCCATATCAAGGATGAAAATACATATTTGTCTGGTACATTTCATACATTTTCAAGCACATGATCAGACAACTGTTTGGTTACTCATTACTTTGATATTTTATTTATTCCTGTCTGTTGTGTTTTAAGACATTACTTGCTCATTAACAAAAGCAGGACACTGTGTTAAAAGGTCACTATATCTTAAGTTTAGCAAGCTTGTATTTTCCCTTCTTAGCATGACCATAGAGGATCATAGGAGTCTAGTACATGAGCAAGCTATAGGCCTTGTGAAAGTCTGGTTCGTAGGTCAGCACTGACTGAGCACTAAAGCAATCACAATTAGTCCCGTATATAGTAATAAAAAATCCTTCATGTGCTCAAAGGGAAGAAGCTGCAGATGCTGTACAAGTCATCGTTTTGAATTGTGTGTGTGTTTATTAGACATAAAATTTTATCTTTAGCAAAGGGATGGGTTTATTTTTTGCTCAGTAGTTTTGCATGTGGAACTAAAGTTCTTCTCATGAATCCAGAGGTGGATTAAGGTTTCCCAGGGCCCTGGGCCACAGCAGGTGGGGGGCCTCTCCCCAACCCTTCCACTTGCGGCCCCGCCCATAGCCCCACCCCTTTCTGCCCCTTCCCTGGGACCACCCCCCCGTTCCATCCAGGGGTCCCCCGCCAGTCCCACAGCCCATTTGCTCCTTTCTGGTCACCCCCATCCCCTGGTGACCCCAAGACGGGAGAAGCTCGGTCCCCACGCCACCGCTTCCCCCGCCACCCCTGCGGTTCTTCAGGGGACCAGGGTTGGGGTGCTGGAGTTTCTCCTGCCCTGCCTGCCCGGTGCTTTCTGCTGGAGAGCGAGATCGGGGGGCTTTCCCTGGTGCCCGCAGCTTCTGCCGGGATGGGGTTGGGGCGGGCTTCCTCTGCCAGGGACGGGGTCAGGTGTTGCTGGGGGGGCTTCCCCCTCCCAGG